TTTTAAAAAATAATAACAACAAAAACCCTGCATATTACTCTTTCCCCCCCCCAGCCTCTTTCCCCCCTCTTGCGGTCAGAGGAAGAGGGCAGGAAGACGAACGCCCTTGATGCTTGAGATTACGCACAAACACGGACGTATAAATATATATATATATACATATACACACATATATCAGAAGCTGGGGTACGCGGAACCTACCCTTTCCGCTGCTTCTAACAACTTTTTGCTAGACATCAACTGCCGCTCAGCAAAAGTGTCTTCGACTTTCCCCCGCTCGAGAGCCGCGTCAGTGCGCCCCCTGCCGACCGGCACCGGCCCTCTCTTTCTGTTCGAGCACTTCGAAAGTTCTATTTTTTGTTCAGCAAACCGTATCTTATAAAATTAACGACAACCAATAAAATTAGCGTATATGTTACGACTGTAAAAGTCCAAAACAAAATAAAGTTAGTTTTAGTTGAAGCTGGAGGGGGGGGAGGTGGAGGGGGGAGGGAAAGCTCCGCTTTTTGGCTTCTCTTCTCCTTGGCTGGACCGAGGCCCTTTTATCTAAAGCCCAGTGCACAAACATATAGCTTAATGTGACTAGTGTTCTTCCTTTATTTCTTTCTCTATGGCAACCAATATGTTCCGCTCAGAAATGTTCCCCCATCAAGGAAACAAATGATCTTGAGCGAGCAGCTTTACGCGGCATCTGTTCCAATGGAGCACACAGAGTTAACCCCAGTCAAAAGGGAAGCTGAGCGCGTCAACAAGAAGGGGAAATGAGCGGTGCTTCTCCACCCCCGTCTGAAACCGACACCTCCCCACTTCGACGAGAGCCCTCTCGCCCATTTGCTAGCGGCAGTTGCGCTATTATTATTAATAATAATAATAGCAATAACAGTAGTAATAAGAATCAGAAAAATCCGAGTCAGGGCTTGCGTTGCGAAGGGGGCTCTCTGGAGATAACAAGGCTTGGGGGAAAAAGAAACGAGATTTAAGAAGAGGGCAATACATGAATCCCCGTAGAAAAGAAAAGAAACAAAAAATGAGGAAAGGCGGATTTATAGAAAAGCGAGTGAAGTTCTAGGACACCCACAGCCAGCCATCTCCAACACCAACAACAAAAACAGCACTGTTTAAAAATAAAATATGCGGCACAAGAAAAAGAGTGAGTTAGTTAGATGGAATCCAGCCTAGGGAAGAAAGGCTAAAAAGGGCCTGGGTTGTGGGGTGTTGTTTTTTTCAGGGAGGCCGGGCCGGGGGGGGGTGTCGCCTGTATCAGGGGCAAAAGAGACAATGTGAATCCTGCTCCCTTCTAATACTCCGGCCCCAGCCTCCTTAGAGAATAAAATGAAGGGATGTCCTGGTTAGTTTTGATTGATTATACTCTTTCTGATGGACTTTCACTACAGAGCTGTAGATGTTGTGCTTAACCGCCTGTTCCCTAGTTACAACATTAACCCTCTCGGCGCATCACCGGCCGCTGGCCTTCTCCTCCTCCTCCTCTTCCTCCAACCCCAGATTTATTTTCCTCGGGGTCACAGCAGGTGCCTTTAAGGGGGTCTCTCTTTGCCTTGCCTGGACCCCTCGGGCGCAGAAGGAGAGAGAGGGGAACAACAACATCACAAACAACAACAACAACAACAACCACGCTCCAAGTCATCTTCCAATCCCTTTCCCCTCAGAAGAGTTACACACCAGTGCCACCCCACCCCCCCCCAAAAAAAAGTACAGCAGTAGCTAGCAGCGAGGGGTGGCTTCAGTTCGCTAGAATGACTCCAGGTTAATGTTCCACTAAGGTGTCTGAGAGGAGAGCATCTATCTTTGAAACAAAAACAAATTGTGGCGGGGAGGGAGTTTTGTTCCATCCAGGGAGTTTTCAGAGGTTCCCAGTCTTGCCCCAAACACAAGCGCACCCAGGCGCGCTTTCAGAAGACATTGATGGGAAAGGAACGGGGAGAGAGGTAAAACAAGTGAAAAAGAGGGAGGAAAAGAGAAACGCAAACTTACCAAAAGGAGCTCCGAGACTTGGAAGATTTGTATTTTAAGTGCCTGGGAGTGGTTTTTTTGGCTAGGAGATTAGTAGACGAGGAGAAAATTCGTGTTCTCAACTGCAGCGAAAAGATCCCGGGTAAGATTCTCCTTCGCACTGATTCCACTAAGCCCAGCTCTCCACTAGTCTATTATTTTCACCAAAATATATGAAAATTTATGCAAATGAAAATCAGCACTAACTGTTCTCCCCTTGTTATACTTTGGATTTACACCCCCCCCCCTCAGACAAAGCAATCACACTCTACAAGGAAAGGGGAGTGGGGGTGGGGAATGAATTGTTGAGGGATGAAGAAGATTAACTTTGAATTTTAAATAAATAAATAACACCCCCCAAAAAAAAATCCCCTCTAAACTCAACCAAGAAGATAGTTTGTTTAATGGGTAAACAATATTGGGGGGGATTTTCCCCAAAAAACTTTATTATTATTATTATTATTGTCGTCGTTGTTATTGTTATTATTACTATTATTGAAGTGGGTCTGCAGAGGCGCTATCACGTTTCATCGGGCCACCTGAGACGGCTTTTGAAAGCGTGTACTGTGAAATTCATAGCAGTAATTTAGACAAAATCCTCACTGTATATTAATGAAAGACGGCCCCATGGCACCGTTCCTATCCTCCCCATTCAGTGTAAACAAAACCACGAGACTCACTCGGTTTTTTGAGCCTGATCCAAGCAAAATCGGCTGGAAAAGAAAACATGGGGTTCTGGCACGGACTATTCAAACCGACTGCACCTGGAGATCTCCGATTTATTCAATGAAATCTGTGTTAGATCCCTTCATCTGTATGTGTATATCTAAAAGGCGGAAAAGTCTGGGAGACACAGGGGAACACAAAGGAGAAGAATTCTGGATGTTTAGGCTTTCAGTTACCAGAGCTCTTCAGATCTGTATACTTCACCTTAATGGTTTTTCTAAACCTACCTAAGATGGTATCTTTTACTGTACAAGCAGGAGCTGGACCGAGTCCTAAATAAATGCTAGCAGCCTCCAGCTAATCTGCCCATCACGCCAGCTCCGCATACCTTCCTCGCTAGCGGGGATATGTATGCAGTTCGTGCTGTACACTGAAATTCACCTAAGCTGGGTTCTTCTGTGGTGAAATTATGAACAGGAGGGAGGGGCGGGGGGCGTTGTGTTGCACATCTTAATGTAAACACGCCGGTGCATATTTTCACGGGGGGGGGGAGAGAGAGACCCACGCGCGCACAGCTTATACACTCACAAATGTGGAAGGGGACCCACGCTCTGAGTGCCTGGCCACAGGCTGTGTGTGTGTGTGTGTGTGTGTGTGTGTGTGTAAGCACAACAGCGCACAAACACGCAACCGTCATTAGCCGAGATGCGTTCCTTGAATGTCCGAATGGTGTTATTTCACTGGAATTCCCCGAGGAGTGTTCAATTTGCCCTTGTTTGGGTTGCCACTTTCTCTTTTTTCCTTGGTTCACTGAGGTTGCCTCTGTGCAGCGTTTCCGCTTGGTCGCATCGTTCTCTCTCTCTCTCTCTCTCTCTCTCTCTCTCTCCCTCCCTCCCTCCCTCCTTCCCTCCCTCCCTTTCTCGCTCTCTCTTCCGCCCACCTTAACTCTTTCGGCTGGACTAGCAATAATAAAATGTTTCATAGAGTCAAGTCTATATCCTACAAAATGCTACCGGCGTCGGTGTTACTTTTATACACACACACACATCATGGTTGCATTTATATAGTGATAGGGAATAGAGCCATTTGGAGAAGCATTGCGTTGTTTGAAATGAACCACCCCCCCCAAAAAAAAATTATTTTTTGAAAAAGCACCGTGGGATTAACGTAATTTAAAATAGACAAATGGTTAAAAGAAGCTTTCTGGGTATTCTTGAAAGGTAAGGCATCCTTTTGCTTGGAGAGGCCTCGGAGCGCTGCGTGCATCCATACTCCCTCAGTTGGGGGATGGAGAGAGAGAGATGAGGGGCATTGTACTTCCCATAAGATGCGGAATAACCGAGGCTGTAAAACAAAGAAGTGTGGGGCCGGTTGCCTGCAACGAGGAGGAGGAGAGCCGGCCGCCTGAGCCTCTCTGTCCGGCGCAGGCTTTTCAGTGGGAACTGCCATGGCTTAAGGAGGGCTGCTGGCGATTGCACCTTTGTGCCTCTGGGAAGCGGGGGTGGGGGGGGAGCAGATGCAGAAACAGGCACATGAAACAGGGCAGGAAGGGGAGGGAGGGAAAACTTTGGAAGATACCAGGGAGAGCGCTCCGGGTTTGTTGTTTCTTTCTTCCTTTCTTTAGGCTGGGGGCTTTGTGAATGCAGGCAGCCCCTGTGTGCCACGGCTGGTTGCAGATAATACGGCTTAAGCGCGCCCATAAGAGGAATCATATGCATGCAAGTAAAATAAGTACAGTGTTAGATAGTGGGTTTTCCTCTCTTCCGCCCCCCCCAACACACACACACACACACACACACACACTCCTTTCTTCCCTTCCCCCTTCTCTCATTGCTCCCCCCCCTTTCTCCCGCCTCCCTCTTCTCAGCTCAATGCCGGGAGAACTCAGATTTATTCACTGGGCTCTAAGAGTTAAGATGTTGTGAGTAGGAGGAGAGAGAGAGAGAGAGAGAGAGAGAGAGAGAGAGAGAGAGAGAGAGAGAGAGCAAAGGAGGGGTGGCGATGGAGAGAAGAGAAGGGGGGCAGGGCAGTTTTCCAAGCCTCCACGACACTTTGCCTAAATTAAAAGCAACCAATCGGAACGGCCGGAAGGGGGGCCTCGCGTCCTGAGCCAGTCATCGCGGGCCTGCCAATCACTCAGCGGGTAGCCAATCAGCGGGGGCCCTCGCGCTCGACTTCCTTGTATTTGGGAAAGTGTGGTGGTGCGCGCGCTCTCGGCGGAGGGTAAACATTCGACAGTCCCCGCTCTGTGAGGGAGGGACAGAGAGAGAGCTGTCAGAGGGAGAGAAAGAGAAGGAGAGGAGGAGGAGGAGGAAGGGGGGAGGAGGAGGAGGAAGGGGGGAGAAAGAGGAGGAGGAGGCGGCGGCAGCAGCAGCGAGGGAAGAGCAGAGCAGAGCAGAGCGGCTTGTACTCCAGCACCAGCAGAAGAGCACGCTTCACGAGCCTGGCAGCCAACTTCCCCCGCGGAGTTCGCGGCTCAAGGATACCATCTCTGCGCGCCCACCCTCACGCGGCTCCCCTGCGCCCAGGCGCTTCCTCCTCCTCCCGGAGACGACCGCTGGATCTTCGTCACCCTCGTCATCCCTTTCGAATTACAGAGAACTCTGCGATTTTAAACTTTTCTTGGCGAGAGAGAAGAGAGAGGGAAGGGTGACCAAAGAGATATTGTCGAACTTGCTTTCTTTTATCATGTGAGGAGGAGAAGGAGGAGGACGACGACTGGGGCAACAACCCACACCCACCAAGCCATCCCTTCCCCAAAGAGAAAAAGCGGGGGGAAGAGAAGGGAAAGGAAGCGGCATGTCTTCTCCAGATTCCCGCAAGAAGGTGGCCCGAGCAGGACTCTTGTTTCCAAGGGACCCGGGCGCATCGGCCGGGCGTCAACTCTGAGGCGATGCGTCGCCCGCAGCTCCGTCGCCTCGTCCGCCGCCGCCTTCGCCAGCATCGCCAGAAGTTTTCTTAGGACATAAACAAAACTTGCGCGCGAGAGAGAGAGAGAGAGAGAGAGGAGAGAGGGGGACGAAAGCCAGAGAAAGAAAGAAAGAAAGAAAGAAAGAAGCAGAAGCGCCGCGAAAGAGAGAGACCGAGAGACAGTGTGTGCGAGGGGACGTGCGTGAGGGGCGAAAGAAAGGAGCCCACACGCACTCATTCACCCCATACAAAGCCTTACAGGAGGGGGAGAAGGGGGAGAAGAGAAACTTTCTCTGTGAGGGGAAAGAAAACAGCAGCGGCAGCAGCAGCAACAACAACAACAACCCAGAAACTGTGAGGGGAGAAAATATGCTCCTGAGGGAGTGAAGGAGGGAAGCCAAAAGGGGAGTTGTTGTTGCCGACCTCGCTCCCTCCCTCCCCTCGGCGGTTCCCGCTCTTTTTTTTTCTCCTTTCCTCCCTCCTTCTACCAATATCTAGGGAGAGGGATTCAGTAATGTCTTTCTCACCGCTGAGGCAACCCCGAACAGGTGAATCGCCAATAAGGGGCCGGCGAAGGAGAAGAAGCGGCCGCGCGTGTGTGTCTGTCTGCGTGTGGCGAGTGTTTCCCCTCAGAGGAGCCGCGAGCCCAGGAGGAGCGGCGGCGGCGGCGCGCGCACCCGCGCGCAAGGAGCCCGCCTCGGGGCCGGCCGGCCGGCGGGCCGGGCACGCTGAGGAGAGCTGAGGAAACAGCCGAGCCGGGCGGGATTCTGGTGGCGCGCTACTGGGCTGCGGCGGCGGCAGCAGCGGCGGCGGCGGCGGCTTGTGGCGAGCGCAGTGGAGGGGTCGAGAGGAAAGCGGCGGCGATGGCTACGGCGGCGTCTAACCCTTACCTGGCCACCAACAGCATCCTGTCGGCGGGCTCCATCGTGCACTCGGACGGCGGGGGCGGCATGCAGCCGGGCAGCGTGGCCGTCACGTCGGTGTCGGGCGGCGGCTACCGCGGCGACCCTTCGTCCGTCAAGATGGTCCAGAGCGACTTCATGCAGGGCGCCATGGCGGCCAGCAACGGCGGCCATATGCTGAGCCACGCGCACCAGTGGGTCACCGCGCTGCCCCACGCCGCCGCCGCCGCCGCAGCTGCCGCCGCCGCCGCCGTGGAAGCCGGCTCTCCCTGGGCCAGCAGCCCGGTCGGCATGACGGGGAGCCCGCAGCAGCAGCAGCAGCAACAGCAGCAGCAACAGCAGCAGCAGCAGCAGCCCGACGTGAAGGGAGGCGGCGGCGGCGGCGGCGGGCGGGACGACCTGCACTCGGGCGCGGCGCTGCACCACCGGCCGCCGCACCTGGGCCCGCCGCACCAGGGCCACTGGGGCTCCGGCGCCGGCGCGCACCTGCCCTCCATGGCCAGCCAGCAGCAGCAGCAGCCTCTGCTGTACTCGCAGCCCGGCGGCTTCACGGTCAACGGCATGCTGAGCCCTCCGCCGGGCAGCCAGAGCCTGGTGCACCCGGGCTTGGTGCGGGGCGACACGCCCGAGCTGGGAGAGCACCCCGGCCATCACCACCACCACCATCACCACCCGCACCCGCACCCGCACCACGGGGGAGGCGGCGGCGGCGGGGGAGGCGGAGGCGGGGGAGGCGGCCTGAACAGCCACGACCCGCACTCGGACGAGGACACGCCGACCTCGGACGACCTGGAGCAGTTCGCCAAGCAGTTCAAGCAGCGCCGGATCAAGCTGGGCTTCACGCAGGCCGACGTGGGCTTGGCGCTGGGCACCCTGTACGGCAACGTCTTCTCGCAGACCACCATCTGCCGCTTCGAGGCTCTGCAGCTGAGCTTCAAGAACATGTGCAAGCTGAAACCTTTGTTGAACAAGTGGCTGGAGGAAGCCGACTCCTCGACGGGCAGCCCCACCAGCATCGACAAGATCGCGGCTCAGGGCCGCAAGAGGAAGAAGCGGACCTCCATCGAGGTGAGTGTCAAGGGGGCCTTGGAGAGCCACTTCTTGAAATGCCCCAAGCCCTCGGCGCAGGAGATTACGAACCTAGCGGACAGCCTGCAGCTGGAGAAGGAGGTGGTCAGGGTTTGGTTTTGCAACCGCAGGCAGAAAGAGAAGCGCATGACCCCCCCGGGGATCCAGCAGCAGACGCCCGACGACGTCTACTCGCAGGTCGGCAACGTGAACTCCGATACGCCGCCGCCCCACCACGGACTCCAGGCGAGCGTGCAGTGAGGGGGGTGGTGTGTGGTGGGGAGGTGGAGGGGGAACGGACAACAAAACAAAAACAGAAAGACAGTCGCCATCATCACCATCAACGACAGCAACGCCACAAATCTTAAATAATAAAAAAAGTGAGAAAGGGATTCTTAGGGAGAAGACAGAAGGGCAGGCAGGCAGGCAGGCAGAGAGAGAGGTGAGCGAGGCGGGGGGGGAGGGGGGAGGGGAGGGGGAGAAGGAAGGCGAAGACGCACACAAGGACACCGACACGCAGCTACAGCCCAGACCCAGGCTCCTTGGCTTGCTTTATTTTAAAGACACATATCTGGAACACTTAGCGTTCTTCATTGCAGAGCGATAGTTGGAGATCCTTCCTTGCTACGGCGAGAAAGGGAGCGTTGTGGAGACCCAAACGCGCGCGCACACAAACACACAAACAAACCCACACACCCCACAACCCCGGATGTTGTTCCTTTCTGTAGCGACTCCACAACACCAGATCAAAATTATGTCCTGTTGTTATCGTTGTGGCAGCGATCGTACAGCACCCAGCTTCTTCTGCGCTCCCATCTCTCTCTCTCCCTCTCTTTCTCTCTCTCTCCTTCCTCCTCCTTCTCCGAGCCCCCCCCCGCCCCGCACCCACCACGAGCCCCTTTAAAAGGACTTTCCTGCGAGGTTCACCGAAACTTTTCTCTCTATTTCACCCCCCCCCCCGCCACACACACACACTTTTAAAATAAAATACGTAAAATGAAAATGTCAAAAGAGGGTAGGCCCCAAGCAGGAGAAAAAACAATGCTAGCATATGTTCTTTGAGTTCCAGAGCTATTGGGAGGGGGTGGTCGTTTGTTTGTTTGTTTTGCCCAAACTACGTTAATTTGGTTCATGGAAGGAGTCTACTTTCGAAGGAGAAGCATTATTTTGAAAACAATAACAAAAGAGAAAAACCGGTAGCTTTTCCCCCTAGGTTTAGGGAAAGGAGAGGGGGGGGAAATAACGCACGCAGCACTAAATGAAAAGCCAAGCAGACTGGATAGAAAAAAACAAATTTATATATTATAATCTAGAGAAAGAGAGCGAGCGAGAGAAAGATGGGAGGAGGGGGAAGAAAGAAAGAAAGAAAGAACCGCCCGCAAATAGAAGGATGACCCTGAAAAGAAAGAGGTTGGAGGGAGGGGCTCCTACCCGGAGGGGGGGGAGAGAGAAGCAAAGCGAGGTTGTTGGTCCTTAAAACTTGGAGCTCCGTAGAAGGATTTTGCATGAATTAAGGGAAACAGCGACATAAAGGGAATAATTCAGGGCTGTTCCTGATGGCTGCCAATCATCCTGGAAGATTAATTTTAAAAAGTTCACTGCTAATATTTTTTTTATTAATATTTTTTATTTCTGGACTAATTCAGATAAAGGGATTTAAAAGGAACTGGGCATCTGCAGCTGCACTTATCTGAACTTCTCTCTCCTAAATCCGTTGCCAACTTGATTGAGCGGGTGCTGTGGAAGTGATTATATAACACTGCCATTTCCTCGCAGTGTTTTTGGTAGGTTTTAATAAACAGACTTTTCAACAAACAAACAAAAAGAAAAAAAGAGAAAAAAAAGACAGCAATAGAGAAATGTTTAGATCCGTTGTTGATCTAAAAAAAAATTTGCTTTATATTTTCATTAAATGACTTCTTTTAATATTTTATTCAGAATACCTATGAACTGCTGCAAAACGGTAATTTATTTTTTCCCCAGATCTTGTATTACGTGTTTTTTTCAGACGAGCACAAATTTAAAAAAATGAAATGAAAAAAAAAAATACGGACAGCTATTAGGTAATAAGGGTATCTTTTGATGTGATAATTTGATTGTAATTTAATTTGAGTAGTGATTCCGTAAGAGCTGATTGAGAAAATAAATTTGTTAGAATGAAATAGTCTTTGTCTGATGCATACGAAATTGTGTCGAGTTAAGTTTTCTTAAGAAATACTGAAAACCTTCCGAATGAGAGACTCAACGATAAAACCAACCTGCTTTCTGTATAGTCTGTTTGTGGTGTCTGTTTTTCAACAGGGAACGGAGGAGAAACCCTCCCCCCCCCCCATTTACTATTGGCCAGGTTAGCTTTTTTAGAAGTAGGTCAACTCCTTATAAATGCATATATAGTTCCACGGTATTTTTAGATCAATGTATTGAGAGTGTGTAATGGGATTATAAACCAAGACTTTAGAACAGAAGGCCATTGTCTGACTCCTCATTTAAGTTGCAACCCTAGCTCAGAAGATATCCCCTATCAGGTGATATAAGCGATCATCTGCAACAGTTTAACTCCCCGTCCCTTTTCCAAAATATAATGCATAGGATGCTTTTAAAAAAAAGACTATATGTTATTTGGAAACATTTTATGTGTGTAACTTTTTATTTTATTTAAACGCTATAATTTAAGAAAAGGTGCTTCTAAATGTGTATGTTGGTGTGCGTACAGAAAGAGAAGGAAGTACTCACGAGTTTTAGCCAGGGTTCTGGTAGTTTGCCATTGTTGTGTTGCTTTAGGGATGCGTGCAGGATGTGGAATGGGCGCAGGTGTTAAGTGCTTGCCCTCAACTCTATACAGCAGCCATACCAGTTATAATAAACGTGAGCGTTGGCGAAGTTAAGGATATCAGTAGCTGCACTACTGAGAAGTAGGTTACCATAACTGTTTGTTATTGTTATAGCCATTGACGTATACAGAGCAGAGGAGTCAGGAGAGGTTTGAAAGTTCAAACCCACCTTTGGAAATCTGCATTTGGGTTGTGGTACCCAGATAAGATAGCTAGTCCCACGGCGCGCACTGTGTAGAAACAGAAAAATATGGAGTGGGAGGTTGAAGCTGATGAAGAAGAACATAAGGTTTCAATCGAGCGTTAGTTCCTTTCCTTTCACTTGATGTGTGGTATAATGGTTTAGAACCAGGAAATAATATTAACTCCTTTTCAATAAGTCTCAATTTTAGGTCAAGTCTAAGCCAGCTAAACAGCCGAGTCCTAAAATGCATTGTTTTAAATCCAAATTAAACCACAAGCATGTTGATAGTCAACAAAGAGGGGGCGGGAGACAGTTTATGAGGAGTGTGGGAAGCTAGTGCAGAATTTTACCTCTTTTAGGTGGTCCAGGGGAAGGGGGCACCGAAAATGGGGGGGGGGGAGAAAGAACTAGGCTCCAACAATTTCATTCCACGCGAGGGAAATAAGAAAAAACAGGCTTCCCAATAGGGAGGCCACGAAGTTGCTTATACTTGTTGGGAAATATCAGCATGTGAGATAGAATCCTATTTTTCACACTAGAGGAATGAGTGGCGTGGGGTGTTGTTGTTTTTTAAAAAATCAGGACAGAGATCTGTTTACATGTCTTAGTTGTTGTTGTTTGGTTAATGGGTTGGGATGAGAACAAAGGGGGTAAGAGTGAGCCTCAAGCTCTTTTCTGTTAGAAAGGTAATATTTGCAACTGCTTTGTAAGGTCAGTCGCTTTTTCGGAAGCAGGTATTTTGCAAAATATGCCCATCTCTGTATCCTTATAACGCAGAAAGGTGAATCTACCAAGGTGATTTGCTATTCTTCTTCTTCTTCTCTCCTCCCGCCCCCCACGTCTTCAAATTGAACCCTCTGAATGTATATAGGAGCTTCAGGGTTACAAGGCCACGGGACGCATAAACGAGAGGCTTTAGTTAAGGGTTATATAATATGTAAATAATGAAAATAACGTTCTATATCACCAAATCTCTAAATTACCCTAAGCACTGTATTCACGTGTAAATCCAGTATTCTGTGGTTGTTGGGTCCCTTAAGCTGTCCCCCATATTCCTCCTCTCTGAAAGGAGAGAGGAGTAAAAAAAATTTTTTTTTGAAAAGTTGTATTTAAGCAGTCCGCGTGATTCTGAAATATAATAATTTACGTTCCCTTTTCTGAAGCTTTTTCCTACCTCTTCTCCCCCTCCCCCAATTTCTCGAGTTGCCTAGTTGACTTCTAATCACAACCGCGTTCAAATCCCTAGCCAATAAATAATTTCCAAGTGTATTTAAACTAGTCGCTCCACTGTTGTTGACCGCATTTTTTAAAAAAAATTAAGCAACAAGCTCCACCATGCATTTTAAATCACAGCGGCTTGCCTTTAAAAAAAGAAAAAGGGAAATAGTTTCCATGTAGCGTTTGCATATTGCTATGGTCTGAACTTGTTTTGTATGAACATTTTTCAACTGAACCTATAAAGAACAATCGGCTCTAATAAGAAATGCAGTATATATTATTGATAGTTCTATCAATAAGTGTCATATTTTCCTTACGTTTAACACTGATATTTGTTTTTTTTTTAAGAGTATATATTTGTAAAATATTTATCCTGTCAAAAGCAACAATATATTGTTGTATTTATTGGTTTATTTTTGTAATAAATGATCAGCACCTTCAAGCTAAAGACAAAACGACATTTTTATATCTTCATAGAGATTGTGAGCGTGTGTGTGTGTAGCGCGCACACTCACACACGCGCACCTTTTAAGACGCAGACATATTTGCATATAAATAGAAGAAAAATAAATCTGCGAGTGGCAGCTTTTAGCGATAAAGCGGGGAGCTCCTTGGACGCTAGCAGTTGAGTTTGCATGGAGTTCCAGGGTGATTAATCAAACTCTAAAATGGATGCAACAAGTCTTGGCCTTGGCTGCAGGCTTGGAATGAATTATTTAGGATATGGACCAAATTTCACAAGTCCCAGCCTCTGGCTGTTTCAAGGAAATTGGTCTATAGTGGCAAGATGGGAAGGCGAAAAGGAACCAAAGTGCGGCGGGTGGGTGGAGGGAGGGCGGCTGGGGAAAGATGCACAAATATTTGCCCTTTACTGTTTGGGGAGGGGGGGAGGAAATGCTTAAAACTGGGTGCAAGCTTCTGGTAGCGCGAGGGAAGATCTCCTTGGTGGTGTTGATGTCTCAGCTGCAGGGAGATGTGGTGTTGACTGACAGGCAGTCTTCAGCTAGCCAGTCAGCCGCTGACAACTTGACCCAGAGTGACACAAACTCCCTTTTTCCTAGCCTGCCAGATTAATGGATGTGAGGCTGGAGGGTGCGTGAGCGCGCGCCTGTTTCGGGCAG